TCGTAATTATTTTAAATGCGTTTCTTTTTTATATCGTGCTGGCCGTCAAAAATGTTTATGTTAATCGGCGCTGAAAAGTAGGCAATACTTTTTATTTAGCATTAAAATTTTGAGTGACAAGTGGTCATAGACTGCTTTTATAAGACGGATTTTATACTGCATATTTTGTATGTAATTACTTTTATTTTTTTATGCTTACGAATTCTTTTTTTAAGTTTAGTTTTTGTTATTTTCTTACATTTTTTTTTAATTTTTATGATGTAAAATTTAAAATTTTAATATTACTTAAATATCTGAAAAATATTTATATATAAGTTAATAGACTTGGAGAAAAATTTAATCTATGCAAGTTTTCATTTTCTTAAAGAATATATATAATATAAATTGTAAATTGTATTGATTCAATAATTTTTTCAATAAATTTAACTAATTGAGTAGTGTTTTGCTTAGATATATAATTTATAAATAAATAAAAATTTTTTTATTTATAAAATAATTATATTATTCAATAATTTTCTTTTGCTTTGTTATTTTCGTTATTTTTTATTATTGAATCGATTTTAAAATAATGCAAAACTATATTTATTTAATTATTTATTTTATTATTTATTTGAGAAAAACAAATCAAAATTAATTTGCCTTTGTCCTCTAGTAAATTGCGATTTAGCAAAATCATTTGACGACGTTATGAATAATTGATTGATTGACGTTTTAGAATGTTTGAGCTTTGCTTTGACCATGAATGTTTGATTTCGCGCTATGTTTATTTAAATTAATAATTAGTTTAACATATTTGTTGTTTATTTTAATGCACATCTTTCACCTTTCACCTGTCACCCTTTTTTTAATTTTAATTCCACATATAGTTTGATTTATTTAACTTTTTGTATGAAAATATCATTTGTGTTTGTTTAATTTATATTATAATCGTACTCTCGTTGTTGCTGTTGCAAATGTTTTAATTAAGCTGCAGCTCAGTTCTGTATTTGTGTAATAATTATCTTTATTTTCATTGTGAATTATTTTTAAGGCTCTTTGTGTGTGCGTGCTTAATTTTAATTGCAATTATTTCAATTTGAATTGTTTGTCATTGTCATTGTTGTTGTTGCTGTTGCTGTTGTTTTAAAATATTAATAATGATAATGTGGCATTAATGATGCACCTTATGCCACTTAACAGACGCACTGGCAGCATAAGCATCTATGACAATTGTTGAGGACATGCCAGGATATTTGTGTCAAGTTCATGAAATGCCAAACAGAAGCCAAAATCAAAATTCGAAATGTGAAGTTCGTCCGCTAAGAGCAGCGGCTAAGAGAAAGCGAAAAGTAAAACAACAAAACGACGCGCAGAAGCGTGAAAAACCAACGGGAAAACTATGGGCACAAAATATGGCAAAGCTACGGCAAGGCCCAAGCCAAAAATGTTTCCGCTTAGAGTTGGCGCCACTGCGAAGTCAAACACAACAAACACACACGCACACCAAAGCATTTATAAATTTTTGTTTAAAATTTTTAATAATTTTTTTTTAGTATTTTTAATTTCATGTATATTTTGATTTTTGTCACTTGTTTTTAATTAGTTTTCGGCTACTTTATTTCATTTACTTAAGCTTCGCCTTTTTGGGGTCTGCTCAGTATTTGTTGCGCTCCTTTTCAACTGTCTCTGTGGTTCGTCCTGTTGCACACACACGTCCGTTTTAATGGAAAGTTCGTTGCCAACTGAGTTTTAAGCACAACGCGGCGTATCTTAAAAATATTAATCTGCCCGCCCAGCAGCATCCAAAAAGCAGAAACAGGCTGTTCGGCGAGCGCTTCTCGAGCTTGCGCTCAACAAATTTTGATAAGAGCCAAGCGACAGACACTCAATGCGGAGTCGCATAGTCAGTGAGTGAGTTTCAGAGTGTATGAGTGAGTGAGTGTATGAGTGAGTGAGTGTATGAGTGAGTGTCTATGACTGAGTGTATTCTCTCGTTGTGAGTCAGGAAATGTTTACTTCGCTTATCAAGCGGTAGTTTACGCTTCAGGACGCTGTCTATACCTAATCAGCTGTTATTTGTCAACAAAACAAAGTAATAAAATAAATACGATTCTTAATAAGAATCGTACGTAAACCCAAACAGAAACAAATAATTCATAAATATATTTCTGATTAGGTATAATTAGGTTTGGGCTGTGAGGTAAAGGCGAACGTAGCTATTTGGTACCTGAGTTAATGACTAAGTTGAAGTTTTGAATTATATATATATAAATATATAATATATACATATTATATATATAATTATAAATAATACTGATGCTGAGCTTAAAGAAGAACTATAATAAACGAGAGTTCATCAGAGCTGCGTAGCTTCTAGTTTTACTTAAATTCATAAATACTTACGCAGGGTATGCACTAATTGAGATAACTAGGTTGCACATCTAGTAGTCGTACTAGTTTAGTTTGTTTCTTGCTGTCCAATTAGCCTGAGACGCATTAATATTTAAAGATAAGAATAGCGATAAGAATTCATCTTCTGACGCAGTCAGACGCTTGACCTAGTAGTGTTTGCTGAGTGGGGAATACCAGATACACATATATATATATATATTTATATATATATATATAATTATATATATATAAAGAATATTCCAGATATAAATAAAGGTATATATTTATATTACATATTAACCAGCTTCTGGTGAATTGGGTCAAGTTCGGACCGCTTTCTATTTGCTTTGCATAACGATTTTTTAGAGAAAAGCATCTCATTACCTCGCCTTTACACAATTTATCTCTTTCTCTCTCTATCTCTGACTTTCTCTCTCTCTCTCTCTGCTTTTGTTAAAAGCTCAAATGCTAATTGTTAAGTCGCAATTGTAAAGTGCGCGATAAGTCGGAGAGTAGATAGGATTATATGCGCTATATCAGCGAAAATAATACCAAATGACCTCACGACTTCCTTATGCATAAGTCACAGACAATATTTCAATTAAGAATCTGCTGCTTATTGCTTCTAATCAGTTGGATTTGCAAATATTTGTGCTAATAAGTAGAAAGTAACCTTGAAAGTAAATAAATATATATTTTTAATAAGAATAGCAACTGCAGTGATTATAATTATATTATAATTGTAGTAATTATAATTATATATATATAATTATAATTATTAAAAATATATATAGTTGTAATCTAATACGAATTGTAACTAATACGAATAGTTAAGCTGTTAGCGTGTTCACTGTTTACTCTTATATTTCAGTAGATTTCTTTCCAACATTATATAATAAATATATTCTTTAATCAGCGCGTAATGCATTAGCCTTATCTTTGTTGTTCAATTAACTAAGACAAATTGATCAAAGTACATTTGAATATTGTAAATTCTTTTTTTTGCCGGAATTGTTGTTCCTTTTCTTTAGATTTTTAATAATAAAACAATTAGTTCTTATTTCGTGCTGTAAACATGTCATAAATGCTTATCTATTAGAACTTAAAACTTCAGTTGCAAAATTTCAAGTCACAGAAACTAAAATTTCGGTGTAAAATATTTTTCTGCGTTTAAGTAGTTCACAGCAGCTAAGACTGTAGCGTCTGCGTATTTATATTAAATATATTAATGTTATCATTTTCGAGTTGAGCCACAATCAAACAAGTTAAGCTTTTTTTGCCAGCTGTTCTGCTTAGTTCTGCTCAGCTCTTGGTTTAACTTGTTTGAAGCTCTAGCTTGCTGGGAGCATGATGCAATGGCTTAGTTAGATTGCACTTGACTTGCTTTAAATGCTCGCCAAATAAGACTCAACTTGTGCTTAGCTGCTGTACGCGTCCCAAGTGCTACCCTCCGCACTTGCCACACTCTAGTTTACTACGCTCTGGTACTCGCTCACAGCACAGTCTGGCTCAAGGTTGTTGTTTATGTGCAACATTTTATAATTACAGTTCAGTTTGTTGAGCTTGGCCAACAGCTTGAACCAATTGAAATTATTGTTTTAATGGGAAAATGGTTAGAAAACTATAAAAGATTTTATTTAAAAAATAAAAACTATTAAAATGTTTTTAATATTATAAAATGAATCATATATATATATAAATATCTAATCAGAAATTTAAATTAAAGCAATTCAGCTATTTATTTAATATTCTATACTTTTTATATTTTCATAACAAAATATCAATAAAATGGTTTCCCTTCTTTTTAACTTTATATTATATATAAAAAGAATTTTATTTGTTGTTGTTATTGTATTTGTAGTACAATACTGTGCTTGCTTCTCAAGGTATGCCCAATATTTCAGCTTTCACTGTTTGGTCTAATTTAAGTGCCAGCCCCAAAAGTATGCAACACAAAATTACAAAAGTGTTGCCAAATGTAAGCACGAGTAAATCAGAAACTGTAAATTAAACACAAAGAGCTAATAAAAAGAAATACACACACACATAGAGACAGAGAGAGAGAGGAGTATATCTCTAGATAAATCCAAATATATACCTACTATGTATATCGGAGTAAAAATGAAACGAAAACAAATTTAGTTTGGGGCAGTTGAGTGCCCACCTAACATGACACTAAATAAACAGGCAGTTGTTACTTACTCAACAACGAAGCCAAATAAATAGTGAAACACTAAAAACCAATACAAAAGTAAACATGCACACTCACACATACACACAGCTAAGTAAATGGTTAGTTCTGTGACATTTTCTAAATTGAAAAACTACAAAATGACTGACATCAGATTATAGTGTGCGAGAGGACAGATTGAGGTGGCTTTAGAGGGGGTTGAGAGGGATGTGGGGCGGTGATTGCAGCACAATGACAACAGCTGTGACCATTCATTCAAGTCCAGAGCCATGTGTCTTGACTTTGGCCTAGGCGAAGCTTAACTTAAAATATTGTTTGTACTTTGCTTTGGGCCAACAGAACTTGCACCTAAACTTGAATGAAACTCAATTGTCTAGAGGCACAGCCATTCGAGAATGACCCCCATAAAAGTGACATAATGTTAACGACTGAGACTTACCTTGAAATTTACATTGCTCGATCAGCTCATCGCTGTGATCCTTGCAGTCGGTGTCGCCATCGCAGACAAATCGAATGGGTATGCATTCCCCGCTTTCCTTGCAGCGGAACTGCTTCTCATCGCAAAAATGTGTCAGGCTTTGAGCTGCAGCATGAAAGAGAGAGAGAGAGTGAGAGGGAGTGTGAGTAAGAGAGCAGATCTATGCGAAATCAAATACATATTAATTCATTAAGTTCAGTTTCTTCGTGGCCTAATCAAATTCATAACTAACATTTAAGTTGAAAACTTTGGCTCGTTAACAACGTTGCGAACCGCACAATGGCGCCCATTAAAATAGTGGGGCGTGGCAGGGATGGGTTTGGCGGGACTGGGTCAGAGGAGGCTTTTGTGGCTCTAGAGCGTTGACAAGCTTTAAGACCTTTCTAAGGTCGGGGCCAAAAAGCTGACAATAAACAAAAAACTTGTAAATAATAAAGTGTGGCAGGCCTTGTCCGTGTGTCAAAGTGTGTGTGTGTGTGTCTGTAAAGGGGTAAACCGCAAAATACGCCGCCATAAACAAAAGGACACAAATTTTTGAAATTAATAAGCGCAAATACAAGGCGAGCTTACAGGATGACAGGCAATGTGTAGGTTATGCGTATATGTGTGTGTGTGTGTGTATGTCTGTGTGGGTATGTCTATGTATGTGCGTAAGCCCTCAACTGGGACTCATCAATCGTTTATGGCTTTTGGCTGTGGGCTTAGTGACAAATTCGTTTGTAAGCAAAATGGCGACAGTCGCAGTTCCGTTTAGCCATTAAATAGCTAAAGATTCAGCGGTTTCAGCGTAGGTATAGCTGCTTGCGTCTGAGCTGATTGCGAAATTAGCTGTGCGCGTGTGTGGGTGTGGGTATAGCAGCTGCTTAATCCAAAAGTGTTTCAAGTTAGCAAAACCATGTGTTATTCGACATTTAATTGTGCGTACTTAACTCAAATTGACAATTGCTTAAGCACGGCACAAGACATGCACGAGCTGAGCACACACACACACACCCATACACAGAGAGATGCACGTTTAATTATAATTGCAGACAATGTCTCTGTGTGTGTGTGTGTGAGGGACTCGACATTGTCTGCACACAGCAACACACTTCATTATCGTGAGAAGTTCAGAAATTTAGAGCAAAGAAATTTTTTTTTTTTTTTTTTTTTTTTTTTTTTTTTTTTTTTTTTTTTTTCGTTTTTATTTCTTTATTTTGTTGCAGCTTATTGTCTTAGACTCTATAGCGCATTTAGCTCTAAACCTTAACTAATGGGAGGGCAGATATGCCAATTATTCTGCACTTGTAGCTACTATCTTAATTAGTTCTAATATTGTCTAGAGGATGCAATCTCTTCAGTCTTCGCCTATTGTTGTTTATAGCCAGGTTGCTTGCGAGATGGTTAGGATGCGCTGCAAGTCTGTCCGCGTATCTTGAACTGTGTCGCCCAATGAGTTCAGCAACTGTGGGAATTGCTAAATCCCTATGTAAGACTGAGTTTCTTACAAACCAGCTGGCTCCAGTCCATCTGCGTAGTGCTTTATTCTGCAGGGTCTGAATTTTGTTCCTTGTAGTCTTCGCCGAGGAGCCCCATAGAGAGATACCATATACGAAGGTTGGGACAACTATTGCCTTGTAGATGGCGGCCTTGCTGCTGTAAGACAACTTGCTTGAAGCTCTCAGCATCCAGTCGAGGGTTTTTAGCTTGCTTTTGCATTTTGAGGTTACTTGACTTATGTGCGCTTTAAAAGTCAGCCTTCTGTCAAGAGTGATACCAAGGTACTTTACTTTTGAGGCTTTGGGAATAGTGGGCCCCAATGCAACGCTTGGGCAATCTCCTCTTCTAGTGGCGAAGGTAGTATGTACAGACTTTTGTGCATTAATGGTGATACACCACCGTTTTGCCCAGCGTCCGAAAGAGTCCAGATATTTTTGTAGTGAGTCTGAAGCTTCTTGCGCAGATACGTGACGTGATAAGATGGCGGTGTCATCTGCATAGGTCGCTATGAGTACTGCATCTGTACTTCCTATATTTGGCTCGGGAGTTGGCATATCTCCTGTGAATAAAGTATAAAGTGTTGGGCCTAGAACACTACCCTGTGGTACTCCAGCCATAATTGGTCTAGTCAAGGATACTGTTTGCCCCCTTGACACTTGGAAGGTTCTTCCAATAAGGTATGAGGATAGCAACGCGAAAAATGGGGCTGGAAGGGTGGTCCTCACTTTCTGCAGCAGTCCCAGGTGCCAAACTCGATCAAACGCCTGTTTGATGTCTAAAAAGACGGCAGAGCAGTACATCTTTTCTTCAAAGGCTCCAAGGATATGGTGCACAACTCTGTGAACCTGTTCCGGTGTTCCATGCTGTCTCCTGAAGCCAAACTGATGGTTTGGAATGGCCTCCTGGCGTCCCAGATGTGTCAGTACTCGTTCCAGAAATATTCTTTCGAATATTTTGGAGAGTACTGGCAACAGGCTAATTGGTCTGTACGACTCAATTTCTCCCACGGGTTTGCCAGGCTTAGGAATCATCACAATCACGGCGCGCTTCCAGCAGGCTGGAAAGTGCCGGATGCGGAGCATGGCGTTGTACACCATAGTTATGTAGTCTATGGTGGAGTCAGGCAGTGCTCTAAGGACTCTGCCGTTTATTAGATCATATCCAGGGGATTTTTTTGCCTTCACTCTTCTGATGTGTTCAAGAACCTCTTCTTTTGTACATCCAGTTATCTGGTCTTCAGCTGGGAGGGGCGAGAGAACGATGTCTTCTGTTGCTTCGATTTCTGAGGCCTCTGCGGTAATCACCGGCGTGAATTGGTCTTGAAGGTGGTTTGCAAAAGCCTCAGCTTGAGCTTCGTCTCCAATGTGCCAGGAACCAGAAATGCTCCGAATGGGATGACGTCGTATTGGCTGCCGTTTGAGCTTTCTTGTAAATTTCCATAATTGAAACTCTGCGTCAGTGGGCGATTCAGCTCGTACCAGCGCATCGCTGATACACCTCTTTTGAAGCAGGGCGAGAGCAGCTTTAAGATGCCTCGTGGCTTCGTTGTACATGGATTTGGCATCAGGCGTGCGTAATCTTAACCAGCGTCTCCTGGCCCATCTTTTGTGTATTAGTAGGTGTTGGGCCTCCAAGGTGAGGGGGATGTTGTACGGAGACTGTTGTCTTGTTTGGCAAGATGGTGGGGCGGCTTGGTGCGCAGCTTTGACTATTTCTTCCTGCAGTTTGTTTGCTGCGTAGTCCACGTCTTCAGGAGTGTTAAGTTCCATTTCTATGTGCAAAGAGTAATGGAGCTCGCGCCTAAAGACTCCTAAATCTGATCCTGCTGGCAGTAGTTGTTTCCTAATGGGCAAGGGCTGTGGCTGCGCGTGGATTGTGACTATTAGTGGCAGGTGGTCAGAGGATAGGTCCAAGGATTCTTCAATGGTCAATTGCCGGTCACAGATGCCTTTGTAGACAGCGAAGTCGATTGCCGAGGGCCTGTGTCCATTAATTGGGTAACGGGTGGGGGCTCCAGTCGCCAATATGCTGAATTGTAAGTTTTGAATCGCCTCAAATATGACTTCTCCGCGACGATTCGCACTATTGCTTCCCCAAAATGGGTGCCATCCATTCCAGTCGCCGCCGATGAGGGTCTTATTCAACCTTTGGCCTAGAACCTGTTCCATGTGATGATCACACAGACCAGTGTTTGGCGGAAGATAAATTGACGCAACTTCGATCGCTCCAATAGACGTAGGCAGGGTGATGGCTGAGACCTGCATTGTTGCGTTGCAAATTGGCAGTAAAGGTGTATGCGGTATTGTTGCTCGTATGAGGATTGAGGATCCACCAAAGCAGTTTGCTCCTTCACCATGAGCCTGATAGTGTTCGTATCCGAAAATTTGTGTAGTGGGGCACTAATGAGTTTCTGTTATTAACATTATATCTATGTTTTCTTGTGAGAGAAACGCAGCCAGTTCCTGAGTCTTGTTTCTCAGGCCATTGGCGTTCCAGATACCCACACGTAAAGCCATTATTTGTAGGCAAGCTTGGTTATGATGGCCATTAAACTGTTTAGCATGGTTGCTTGTTGGGATTGTACTTCTCGCATCGCTTTGAGCTCGGCATTAATTGCGTCAAACTGACGTTGTTGTTGCTGAAGCATTTCAGTGAACAAAGTGTCACTTGTGGTATTCTTATTTGACGGTCCACCTCTAGCGGCCTGTGCGTAAGAAACACCACTAATAGGCGTTGCAAAGCTCGTGGCTTGGGTAATGCTCCGGGGCCTTGTAATTTCGGAAGCAGTACTCGGACCCGTAGACGGTGTTTGTGTGGGACTCCTTTTTTGTGCTGGGGATTGCAATTTGCGCAACCGCTTGTATACTTGGCAGCCCTTATAGTTGGCTGGGTGCTGTAACTCACAGTGCACACAAGTTGGTGCCTGGTCCTTTTCGCGGGTGCAGTCTTTGGATGCGTGTTTCCCGGCGCAACGCACACATCTGGGAGCTTTGTGGCAGTAGCGTTGTGTGTGTCCAAATTCTTGACAGCGATGGCATTGTGTCAGGTCGTTGTATCTTCTTGGCAGTTCCACTGTGCAGCGTTGCCTGCAGACAACTCGAATGTCCAAAATTTCTTTGTTGTTGGGGGCCTGAGCCACGTCAACAAAAAATATATTTAGCGGTGTTTTGTCCATACGGCTCAGTGGGTTGTGCACATTTGTAATTGTGTGGCCTTTGGTTTCCAATTCCTTTTTAATTAGTGTTGTATCAGTGCTGGAGTGAAGCCCTTTGAACACGACTCTATATGGTTTGTCCTCCTTAAGCTGGTAGCAGTGGAACTCCAATTCCAGCTTAGTAAAGTGGTCTATAACTCTGCGATAGTCCTCACTGCATTGGGTTAATACACCTATGTTATTCTTCTTTGGCTTAATTACGTATGATTTAGCATCAATTACTTTATCTATTATCTGTTGAAGTAGGGCCACAGACTTGATGTTTGGACACCATATGGGGGGCGGACGAGGTTTCGGTGTAGTTTGCTGGTCGGTCAATACTGGGGCTTCTGGAGCTACAGGTGATTCGCTGTAGTCTTCATCTTCTTCTACGAGCAGTGAAAATCGATTTTCTGATATTAATGCTGCATTG